ATCTCTTGAACAACGATATGAAGAATCACTCAAATCAACCAACAACCACTTATTGCCATATTTGGATAATAATAACAATCATCGAACGATTATGATTATNAGAAGGGTCATTTCGATGGCAATGTGAAGAGGTAACGTCGATTGGACAAACACAAATGACTGGTTGTGATTAGATTAGATTCTGATTTGATTTCGTTTGACTGTGATTTGATTTGAAATCTTATAAAATATTCATTCATTCTTTCATTCATAGACTCTGATTCACAGTTCTCAAATAACATCGCAAACTGCTGATATAAGTGGCGTAGAGAATGCATATGATTTTATTTGATTAACATTCGTGATATGCAATCGTAATTTGAAGTAATTTGTAATATTATATTCTATTATTAAAACTAAATTATCTTGATTTGGGAAATGATTGAAATGTGGTGTTTGTTTTGTTTTGTTTTGAAATGAGCGCACATTTTATCAGTGTTGTTCGATCAGATATTACTTTTGCGTATTATAAAAATCCGTTTTCTTGTATGATAACAATCACATATGTTATTATGACACCATGTGTGAATGCATAAAAGCAAATAAATTAGGTGAAAAACGCGAAGATAATATGCAAAACAGACACGCTTTCATATCAGTATTGTAAATCTTTCAAATAAAACACTACCACCGTGTCAAAACGAATATTTTGCATTCATTCGATTACGCGAGGAACGTGAACAACAACTTCTTTTGAATGAGTTTGTTCGGTTGTTTCGTTTGATTCGAATGTGTCGTAGATTCTTATCAGTTTCGTTATCACTTCCAAATCAGAAAATCAAATCAAATCAATTCAAAGCAAGTCACGCATAAACACCACCACCACTAACTCAAATTCTATCGCAGTTGATCAGTGAACAACGCTTTCCTGTAATAAAATCACCAACAACTATCAAAAACAACATTGCTTCGATCTGTTTTTCATACGGTACATTTGACTTGATTCAATTAAAACGTTAAAATAACATATTCATCTTTCAGATGTGTATGTGTTTCGTAAGCAATGCAAATGTTATTTGTGCACATACCGATAATGAACTGTTCGATTCAATCCCTCTTCAAGCTAGTGATCGCATGAAATTTTTTTAGTCTTTGCCAGGATCAATTGCTAGAGAACGATCTTTTCGAGCTTAAGTCCCTCTAAAAGTGAAAAATCCCTCTTCAAAAGAATGCTGGGCATTCTCGATTGGCTCAGACGGAGCATTTGAGTACTGCAGCTGTTTGATTTACTGTGACGGATTCTTAATTATCAAACAGTTCTTAAAATTGAAATGACAGTGAGGGTTGGGGCCGTAGACAGTGAGTGAAAATTTTGCTTGTGGGTGTGAGCACTGCATGGTGAGAGCAACAATCGTTGAGAGAAAGGATGAAAAGCTTGAAAATCTTCAGGACGTCTAACATCAGTGAGCACTTAACTCTTCAATTTTTTTCGGAAATCCCCAGTCACTAGATCGTTGGCCTAAATGTGGTGGAACTGGTGTAAGTGTTTAGAAACCTCTGGTGTAAACTTGTAACAGATGAAGTATTCAACTGATTCGAGACAACCGAAGAATTCAGCATGAATATGAATTGATGAACTCTTACGAACAATCGTAAAACTGTTTACAACTGAATAAAGAAATTGCCGTCCCCATAAATTTCTCCATCGTGCAATGCATATCAGTACATAATCAAATCACCTGCAAAATAGCAAAGCGAATCGGTTGTTATTCAATTGTGTAGCGTTCGTGATAACATCATATCGATCAATCAAAAACGAAATTATCAACAAGCATTTATATCTTTGACATGTAAATTGTCGAATTGACACGGAATATTCAGTGTCTTTCAATTTCTAATCGATGTTTCAATGGAGCTGAACAAATTGCTTTCAGCTATTTTAACGGATAGTAGTGTGCATTTCGTTGACTTTGATTCGACGCTGATCATAAACAGCGTGTTGCTTCTTTACCAATAGAAACACCATGACAGAAAAATGGAGTGCTCAAAAACCTTCACGACCACATGAATGGAAAGCTTTTCTGGACATTCATTTAAGATAGGGATAATAAGACTGATGCGAGCGAATTCAATCGTTTGAGAATATTGTTGATCAGAAGAATGTAGCACATTAATTATGAATTGTTATAAAATTCAAGCCTCATTAGTTTTGCTACTTTCATTCACAACGCAAATGGGAGCTCATTCCCGTACTTTCCCTGCGTTTAATTCACATTATAATTGCCGTTCCTTGTTTTATGAAGTGGAATGTAATCGTTAAAACGATGAGTATCATTGATTTGAACATCGCCCTTATTATGATAAACTATCAAAAACTTATCATGAGATTATAAACAATTTATCACAAATTATAATAACGATTTCAATGCTGATTTTTCAAAATATATGCCATAACAAGCCCATTATTTTTTCATTCTTACCAATTACTTACGCGATAACCAGTTTGATTGTTCAATCACCAAGTTTGATACCTTCTTAAGAAGAGTGAATCTTGCGTTCCGTAAGTCGATCGTTCATTTTCTAACGGCGAATGTTCTCGTTTACGTTTATCGGTTGAAGTTGGCGTTGTAAACGGTGAAAATATTAATGATTTAGTGCTGCTTACTTCGATCATGTGATAAATAAATACTATCATAGTTTGAGCTTTGTTCAACTAGTTTTGAATCAGATAAGATCATTCAGTTGATAAGATCATTTGAAGCAAAATCTGAAGTTATTGCTCATTGATGTCAACAGATTTCATGATAACAACCGATAATGTGACGACGGTGACGAATAATTTAAACAACTTTAAAACGTTGAGGGAAATGTGCAGTGATTTTCACATAAGACAAGCATGGTTTATCCCAGTGGTTCTCACGTTCGGGTACTCCATTGCCCCTTTCGATGATCTGACAGGCCACCGTTACCCCCCTCACCCTTATCAAATATGGAAATCGCACATGTTCAGATAACCGTTGCGTTCAATATTATTAGCACGTCCATGATGGTAATCGGCATCGTTGGGCCTTCTGTTAGGCTGTTGTTCGATTATGATTGCATGAAAAGCTATTGTCTGTGACACGCTCACTTCAAACTGATTTAGATGGATTCTCATTCTTTTCAGACGTGTTCTATTCACTCTCACAGCTATTAATGCGAATGCCGTTCTCTTGATGGGTTTTTCTCATTCACTTCGTCTCATTACACTTCACAGTTCGAATCAATTTCTTATTCTGTCGCATATACTGTTTACTGGATATGCTGACGAGTGTTGACAGCCGAAATCAACAATACAGCAATCAAACTGAATTGCTTAACAACGTTCGAGAGTCAAGTGATCAATTATAGAGTGTACTTGATAGAATGAGAATTTGACTTTAATTGTTGAGCGAAGTGAATGAGAAATTGGCAAAAGAGAACATTTTTAGTGATAAAAGTTATGAGAGCGATTGTAACAGCATGGAAAAGAATGAAAACCCTGTCAAAACGAATGAAAACCCTGGTAGGCCTGGACGGGGTAATGATACTCAAAAAATAGAAGAATGAAGAGTGTGGCCATCAACTAACCGCATTTACATATCCCATTTAAAAAACACCATCACAATGACGTTCTATCATAACATAACAACTGTCCGGAATACTAATTTCCCGACCTCTCCATTATCTCTTGACAGCTCTGAATTACCCAAAATGGGCAATTTTATCCTCTATAAGAACCACTAGTTTAACCAGTGAATTTCGGTATGCATAGTTCCACATATCGACGTTAGAAGTTGTCGCTTAATCGTTCTAGCATTTTGGACAAAAATTGTAAGGTTTTATCGAATCACACAGCGAAATTGCAGTTCAGAGGGAGAATCCCATTGCTAGAAACTTCAGCTGATAAGTGTTTTTCAGTGACGGGTGATTTATCGTTGGATCTGTCGAGGATGTTAAAAACAATTCCAAATTTGTGTAAGTTCATTGCGCAAATAATAAATGCTGTTTGTGATATTTGTTCGAATGTTCTAAACTGATATTGTCTCAAATCCATTCTCCAATGTAGGACTGGGTCGGGGGCAAAATCAAGCTCGCGTTCTCTAATTTCGCTGTGCTTCTGTCTCATCTACACTCAGCTGTTTGATTCATTTCAAGCGTTCGCATGAAAAATGCTTGAAAGTTACTTCTGACAATCAGTCAATCAGCCGAATTAAGAAATTATGCCGACTGCAAAAGGGGAAACTCTCTTATGTTCATAGCTCTCTGAGGCATCCACACAGCTCCGTTCGGCCAGAAATATTTTGTTCAGAATTTGGCACTTATATTAGTAAGATGCCACTATAAATCTACGATATCATACAAAAACACATTATCCTTACAATATAACACTTCGGATGACAATGCTATCGAATATGTTCGATAAATTTTAGTGAGGAAGTATGGTAGTAAAAGAAGTGAAACGATACTGAAGCGCAAATTTGCTGATATCGCAAAACCAACAACAACACAGCTATGTGATCCCGAATGTGATTATGACCATCCTAAAAAATGTCAATTTGAACAGGTAGCATTCAATAACCTCATAATGAATATCATTCCATGCTCAGATCGACCGAAGATCCTTGATTCCAAAAACCTTCATTTGTACAGCGATGAAAAGTTTTGATAAACCAAACCACTCATAATCATTATCATAGTTGTGTAATTATGTTTAAAATATGATTGCCAACAATAGATTTGTTTTCTACGAGAAGATATAGCTATTTTTCTAATGCTATAGGGGTGACATGCATTTGATCACTATAGATCAATAGATATTATACATTATTATAAAAACATAGGTTTGATATATTCAAGGAAGGAGTTATTGGTGAAGAATGTGAAAAAAATTTCAGATAGCAGCTGCGGCGTTCACATTCAATGAACAAAATATAAAATTAACGGAATGTCGTCATTCACACCGTTTATCACAAGAGAGTGGAGTGGATCTCTTTCTCAAGATGGAAGTTAATCAGGTTCGTACCGATTCATACTAATTTTGCAAGAGTATGCTCAGCCGTTGTATTGATAACATTCATTCAAATTATTTCATTGAATCGCCCACTGCTAATAGTGGCATTTGTTAAATTGAAGTTGTTCCACACAAGTGACTTATGAACTTAGTATTTCTTTCAGGTAACAGGTTCTTTCAAAGAGCGTGGTGCCAGATGGGCATTATTACAGCTGGACGAGAAGGACCGCAAAACAGGTGTGTATGCAGCATCTGCAGGCAATCACGCGTTGGCGTTGAGCTATCATGGACAACAACTTGGCATTCCTGTGAATGTGGTTATGCCGAGACATGCACCCATCATGAAGATTGAGTCATGTGGACGATTCGGGGCAAATATTCGCGTTGAGGTATTCGTCACCGAATGATTCTTAAATGATCATTTTATGAGATCATTTCGAAACTCTCACGATCTAACATCAAAACGCAATTTCATTACCTCGTGAATAGGCTTAATTCTCTATCAAATCTGGAATCTGATACGAGTGAAACAAGGAGCTGGAAGGCGTCGAACTTAAGCGCAGCTAGAATTGGGTCTGGACGTAAATTGAAAAATGAATTTAGTATCAGCATTTAGAGATAGTTTTCGATTAAGGGTAAACACATGGTTGAGTCACGCACTATTGGATTGCGATTGGCAAGCGAAAATCATGGAAAATACATCAATGGCTACGATCATGTTGATGTGATTGCCGGAGCTGGAACTGTAGGACTTGAAGTAATCGAGCAGGTGGTTTGCATACGATTGAAAATTCTTTGGTTATTTCTGAACTGCAAAATTGTTGCGTGATAAAAATTATCGAACAATATTCATCAACTTGACAAATCTGAACGCAATTAGCTTCACGTCAATTGTGAGGACAAATTTTCACGCACAAATCAATTTAAATCATTGATTGCATTTATTTCAATCATTGATATTGTTGAGGCATCGTGATGGAGTCATAATGTGATTTTCAGATGCATGCCGATGTAGATGCCGTTTTAGTACCGGTTGGGGGTGGTGGTCTTATTGCTGGAGTATCACTGGCAATCAAATCCGTATTTCCACGAGTGAAAGTTATCGGCGTTGAAGCCGCTTCATGTAGCGGTTTCAAGGTGGTTGCTTTCAACGATATGTTGTTAAATCATTGGCATTTGTGCACATAGATAGAACAACCCCAGACATGAAGAATTTGATGACTGCTGGCGACTACTGTGGCTTTCGCTTACGAAATTTAGCAATCTTTTTCGATTCAGTAGAAAAACTGCTGGCATCTAGAATGAAAGCGTTAGTTTTGAGAAAACTGTTATTGACTATTCACCCAAAAAGAGAATAGTTTGAGTCATATGCTAGAAGAAAACATAAAATGCATTAACTTTTCTTGTGAAATATGGACGAAGAAAGGATTGCTCATAATATGGCAATATTGCTATTCCACAAATCAGTGCTTCGGCAAAACAGGGGAGGCGAAAAAACTCGCTGAAGGGAAACTGGTAGAATTTAGCTAGCTCACGGACATAAGATGCTCACGATGAATGTCTATTCGGGTGGATATAATGCATCGACGTTTCAAAAATCTCTCATTCAGTGATTTTGCAGCATTCTTTGGAAGCTGGAAAGCCAGTACTGTCAACGTCGTTGGGAACGCTGGCTGACGGTTTAGCCGTTCCGTTGATTGGATGCAATTCATTTGCTACAGCCAAAGGTTTGAGCAGTTTTGGGGCAGATTCTTAAAGTTACGGAATCTGCTTATTCCATTTATTTCATCAGATGAATTGAAAGTACAAGTTCATTCATATAGTGAGAATATCAAAAATGTTCACGATTTTATTCTGGAATTTACGCCCCATGGTATTTATCTGAATTATATATAGTACTTTTTGTGGTCGTAGATCAGAATTTGACGCGATATTTTTTCTCGTAGAGTAAGCAGCAATAGATTTTTGATTCTATTATATACTTCAAATCCATGGGTTGGAATAAATTACTCGAAATTTTCAACAGATCACATTGATCGTATGGTAACGGTGAGTGAAGAGGACATATCACTAGCGATTCTACGTCTTGTGGAATACGAAAAAGTTAGTGCGTTTCTAGAGAATATCGACAATTCGGTTTATTGCCCAATACAATTCTGTCAAACGACGATGATTTGAAGTAACTGTTATCAGATGTGTAATCCTACGATATTGGCTACAAACTGATTGCAGTTGATGTAAACAGATCATTAGTATTAAATCTTCTCATGGATTTGGATTTTGCTGAAGAATTGGTGCTTTAAATGTTGTGTTCAGTAACGGCGAAGGGTCCATTAAAAATTTCAAAATTCAGTTTGGAATAGTTTAGATATTTAGATATTAAATATTTTTTTAGTTTTAGATATTGTTGAGAAAGTATCCAGATATTGAGCATAAGTGTAAGTGTAAGGCTGAGGCCAAGCATTAGCCTGAGCCTACGTATCAGCCGACGATCAGCTTAATCTAGCTATAATTTCTGAGTTGTTTGCACGTTAGATCACTATGAAGTAGGCCAAGTGAACATTGAAGTTGATTGTTCTGCACATGAACAATCTCGTTTGATAGGTAGTTGTCGAAGGAGCTGGTGCAGTTGGTATAGCAGCGTTGCTATCGGGTCAGTTAAATGACCTAAAGGGCAAGAAGGTGGTATCCCTAATAACAGGTGGAAACATCGATTCGAGTAGTCTCGGAAAATGCATCGAACGAGGTTTGTTACTCTATTGCTTAATTTCTCCTAAAACAGTGGTTCTCACAGGAGATGAAATTACTCACTTTGGGTAATTTGGAGGTGTCAAGGGGTAATAGGGGGCGGGGGTCAGGAAAGTGGTATTTCGTGCAGTTAGTATAGAACNGGTGTTATTTAACTCGGGTATGTAAAAGAGGTTGGCTGATGGCAACACTTCATTCTTCTATTTTTGAGTATCATTACCCCGTCCAAACCTAACAGGGTTTTCATTCTTTTCCGTGCTGTTACAATCGCTCTCATAACTTTTATCACCAAAAGTGTTCTCTTGTGCTGATTTCTCATTCATTTCACTCGACAATTAAAGTCAAATTCTCATTCTATCAAATGCACTCTACAATTGATCATTTGACTGTCGAACGTTGCTGAGCAATAATATTCGATTGCTGTGTTGTTGATTTCGGCTATCAACACCCGTCAACGTTTCCAGTAATAGTACATGCTACAGAATAAGAAGTTGATTCTAACTGTGAAGTGAGATGAGACGAAGTGAATGAGAAAAACTCGTGAAGAGAACGATATTCGCATCTAATAGCTATGAGAGTGAATACAACACGTCTGAAAGAATGAGAATCCGTCTAATTCAGTTTGAAGCTCTATTTCTTCTACGTCGTTGAGAATTTTCTACAGAATAAGAAGTTGATTCTAACTGTGAAGTGAGATGAGACGAAGTGAATGAGAAAAACTCGTGAAGAGAACGATATTCGCATCTAATAGCTATGAGAGTGAATACAACACGTCTGAAAGAATGAGAATCCGTCTAATTCAGTTTGAAGCTCTATTTCTTCTACGTCGTTGAGAATTTTCGGTGTTCCACTACAGAAAACTGATTTTTTTCGCGCCGCTCAAAAATTCCCGGACCGGTTTTTTGTTTGTTCCTAACGTTATAGGTAGATTTAGTAAGTTCTTGTATCAGGGGGGAGGGTTTAGACAGCCTGCCAGATCATTAAAAAGAGTAAGGGAGCATCAAAACGTGAGAACCACTCTCCTAAAACATGTTTCTTATATTTACCTTTCATTCTCCATCATTTTGATGATCTAAGTTTCATTAAGATTTACTTTATCAGTGTTGCTTCCTGAAATTTAGCCTCTTGAACGGCCTTTGTGCAGTGATAAGGTTAGACAATCCCCGACGACTGCTTTCAAGGATTGAAATTGATGCTGATACTCTGAACGATTTGTAATGCTGATACTGAGAGANTTTTTAATGCTGATACTGAGAGAAGTGATAATGTCACTGATAAAATAAATGAAATTATGTGTAACGACTCTGATAGATCAGTGATAACAATGATAATGAATCAGGAATGGTATCCGATCATAGACTCATGAGGGTGGAACTTGTGGTTTCCGATCGACCAGGTAGCTTAGCCGAGATGGCAAATATAATTGCCGAACAAGGTGCATCACTACACGATATAAATAAGGTATTCAGATTCATTTAAATCAGTAATATTGGCTATTACGAAACGAAGATGCCTCTTAACATGCTCATTTTAACAACTCTTTCGATACTTCTCGATACGAACAACCTGACCGCATTCCCCATTTTCTCACTCAGTAAAAACTATTTCTGTGGTTCGAAGTTCAAACTCAGAGTTCAAAAACCATTGTCGGTGTTGAGATTTGAGATATTAAACAATGTTGAGGTGGGCAATGTTCCGAGACAATCAGTCGCATCATCTGCAGCTAATCCATGAAGACATTTGACTACGCGATGACAAACTGGTTGCCTCGTCCACCTACGAAAGTATTTAGTCAAGCTCAAATGAGTCACAATAGCCTCAGTCCATAAGCTCTGAAAAAATTGTGAAATATGCGTGCAACTGTGTTGAGCGCAATATTATCCGGACTGAACACTCATTCAGTTATGTGTTATTGTAATTAGCCAATGTTCTTACAATTAGGAATATTTGGTGAGAATTCATCAGTGTTCGATGAACTCAACTTTTTGTGTGCTCTGTTCATGTGAAAATTGCGAATGAAAGTTGTTGATGTGATGGGATTGTGCTGAGAAGATGATTTTTAAAGGAAAGAACTTGGCTGAAAGAAGATATGTTCTCTAGTCGAATTCGTTGCGTTATTGAAACAAGAAATATCGATCACTCAAAAAATGTTGAAGATGCTCTTGTAAAACGATACGGTGATGTAATTGTCGGCACACCACATCAACCCAAACACCTCACTGAATTCTCAAAGCTTAACTCATCAAGTAGTGAACCAAAGAAACATGCTAGCAAGATAAGAGATCATGAACAACAGTCCAGAGATCGAATGCACAATCAGACTAACGATACGAAATTTAACACAAATCGATCAGCTAACACTGACAGCCCACAAACAACGCTGAATAGTACATCACGAAATAATCAGAGCTGATTAGTTGAATAATATTCCAAAGTTAATAAACTATTTATTATTTGAACTCCGCTGTTTAATTCACTTCTTTATCGATGCTGTAATCCATTACGAGTACTTGTATAAACATTTCTTGAATACAACCTTAATATTTACGTTTTCTTGCATTCATTACTCTCTAATATTGTGCCCAATTATTATCAGCAAACGATTTGTTATTTGCCACATCAAGTAAAATGATGACAATTTTCGAATGTGTTTCTGAGTAGTTTCATGTGAAACTTCCAGTCAATTCGATCGATTTTATCATGATTACCACAATCGTGACGGTTGATAAGTACTTGACGCTAATGCAATGTGATTGTATGGTGAACAGAAAGAAGTGATAACGAATGATAACGAAAATGATAACTGGTTTGCGTTCATAGAATAATTCTTTGCATCTGATGAAATCTTGCGATGTTTCGTGCATAGAATTCATTCATTCACCTACAGACCCCACTGAATGACCGACCGATATTTTTGGGTCGATTGATTGCAAGTGATCGCTCGTGGAAGTAATGATTGTAAATTTGCGTTTTGAAACTTATAAACTTGAACTTAAATTGAATGAAACAACAACAGGTCCATATAGCTGTAATGGGTTGAATTGCTATGCAGCCGAAAAATAATAAGTTCACGGATAAGAACACTGCTAAACATAGCTAATCGCAGAAGGTTACTGCAGAAACTAAGTAATGCAGTGAATCATCTCAATGATGTGAAGCTTGCGATAATGCTTCGAGGAATAATGCTATAAGAACAATTGTACACGATTCTACAGTTGAACCTTAACGGAAGTCGTCCGTCCAGTTTAATGTTTTGCGTTACGAATGGAAATTCAAATGAAAGCTTTTACGTGTCAATGAATGAAGTCAACAACAAAAAGCACAACAGTTAACAGTTTTCGCAAACGGATACTTGAAAGAAGACACCAATCGAAGAGAAATAAATTAAACATAAGGAGCCCATCAACAATACAAACGCAAAAACAAACACGCACACAAAAAATGAAACGAAACAGTCNATAAATAGACCTCAGACCCTTCGCTATTGTGAATAGCTATATTCAACAACAAAAACAACAACATCAATCAACAAAATATCCTTACCAAGATAAAGTTCAAAACCCAAATAAAACAGACGAAGTTGATTTTAAGAATTCTTCGAACCGACAGAATCTGCTGGTGTAATGAAAGAGCAAAAAAGGGTTAAGAGTGAATGACTGGACTGCGTGAAATACATAACAACAGAAGAAAGAACACATTTGAAAATGGTATAGTGGATCAAATACACTGCGCTAAAATACATTCACACAAACACTTCATTCATAAGGATAGGAAAATTTTCAATGGGAAGAGAGAAAATGATGATAACAAGTCATTCTTATCAATCAAAAAAAGAAGCAACAAGACTTTTGATAACTTTCTGTCGAATCGTTGCCGTTGACTCATTCGATCGATAAATTGAATATCAAATGCATCTTGATTCGGGATGAAAGAGTTGCACATGATGAACTGGTAGTGCTGTCAATCAAGTCTCTCAAATACGCCAAAATTCGAGTTGATATAAAATTGACTGATCATCTCTTAACGTTTATCATTCGGAAATCAATTATTACTTAGGAAACGAAAAACTGATTTCATCCCGCAACTTGAAATGAATCGATTCCATCAGAAAACAATCAGTATACTCAAGTATTCATCAACCATCATAATCAAAAATCAAAATGAACAAGAGCACCAGCCAAACAAAACCAGAGAATCATGCCGAAGAACCAGAGAACAAGTCAAATTAATGCTGCTAATTAACGACCATTCACAATCAATTAATACTGCTCAATCATAACACATTATCACCGCATGAATAAGCAAAAGCAGATGCACGTACATACGA